AAAGTTCGTTAGTAGAGGCGTTCGTATCCCAAGGTACCACTGTAGTTCTGCTCCTTTGAATCAGGCATTCTTAGCAGTACCTGTACTCTAAAACCCCATCTGCCCTCTACTGTCCTTTTTAAAAACAAAATGAAACCATTTTCAAAATTATAAAATGGTAATACAAACTGGGAATTGGTAAAAAGGAGGCTAGGGAATATTAATGGGCAAGGTTTTTGAAGGAGAAAGCATGTTTTTGATATCCTAGGTGCGAGCTTGATTGCAGTCTGTATAGCATTCATTTATTATTTCAGCCCAAAACCACAAATATTCATAAACATTAGTTTATGCAAACTGCCAAAAATATACACAAACATGCATAAATGTACTTGCCTTTTCTAATATTTGCATTTTGTACTCAGTTCCTAATATACACTTTTGCAAACAGTTACATATTAATCAATATGTATGGGTATAACTTTCTCCTAATATACACATTTTTGTGTATCAGAAAGTTCTGCAGCTTATACAGACATTTCTGTTCTATATAGTGGAAGGTCCAAAATCAATAAATTTGTATAAAAGTTGTGATATGACAAATATCTCATATGTCCCTACTTCCAAATGTGGTGAATCCAGGTATTTAGAAAATAAGAAACTGTCTCAACAGCAGTATGTATGGAAACTAACAGGAAAAAAAAAAAAAAAAGGACAGAAAACAGCAATTGCAGATGGTTACAAAATATATTCAATTATTTTATGTATTAGCATAAAAACAATTATTTTTGTGTAAAATGTTTCCACTTTCCTTGTTTTTTGTGGGGCATGATTTCCTAATAAGAACAAGTGTTCACAGGAGAAGGTTTGTAACATACAAAAAGGATGGAGATTTAATCATTTTGCTATGCCCACCATTTTGCAGATTCCCTCCCCCCTGCCGCTCCGATGTCTCTGAATAAAAATCATATAAGGCTCCTCCTGGAGTTTTAGTTAGGAGGAGTGTAACATTTTATAATTGAATATCTTCATCTTATTACCAGTACAATATCAATTCAATCAACTGAATTATCAGTTCAATCTCACTGACACGTGGGGATATATGATCAAGGTGTGGTATATCTCAGAATTTATCATCCAAGCTGATGGAAAGCACATTAAAAAGCATGCATGTGATCACTCTTCTCTGATTAATAGGATTAGTAAGATGTTTTTAACTCTGTAAAGAGCTCCCTAAACACTTTAATTAGCCTCCTTTTAATTAGATACCATACTTCTGTATGATTAGATGTCAACATTCATGGTTATTAATTACATTATCCCTAGTGGAACTATACTTTTTCTGAAATGTTAAAGGAGCTAGACCTAACGGAGGAAACAGTAGTTTGAGCCAGAATTTAAAAATAGTGTTCCATGCCTTCATATACATTGACTAAGATTCTAGTGATAAAAGTTGATTAATAATATTGTAATATTTAAGGTATAATTTCTGTCTGTTTCTTGAGCGAGGAAAAGTAAAATAAAATATTTGCATATGACTATTCAAAGATGACAAAGCTTAAACAACAAGAAACATTTGGTACAAAAACATCTGCAGAGGAAAGTCAAGTATGAATTCTGCATTTTGATGCACAAGTTTTCTTCCTACGACAGAATGGAAGCAGTTAAAAACTCTAATCTAATTTTTTCTTATATAAAACTATACATTTTTCAGTCTGAAGCTAAACATAGTGTACAGTACCATTTATTTAAAATATTTAAATACCATCATTTTCTATTATTTTATTCTGTAGATTTCATAGTTTTGATTAAAAAAAAAGAATCTCCAAAGAAATTACTAAATATTGCCACTATAATTCAATGCATGTTATATAAATAGACAAGCAAACAGCAAAAATTTTGATATTATAACTATTCAAATTTGGTTTTTGCATATAAGAAATAAAATTATTCATTACCATTATAAAACATTTTATTAATTTATTCATTACTAATTATTTTTGGGATATTATTTTGTTTTAATGCAGCTAATTATTTAAATATTTTCAATGTCATAGAGATTCTACTTAATGTTCTAATATTGTAATAAATGTGGAGTTCTTGGTGATCTCTGAGCTTGGTTGTTTGCTTGCAGATGTTTCATTACCCAACTAAGTAACATAATCAGGGGGTGTGAGTATGGGGTTTGCAGTAGTTTTCCCTACCAGTTTTGGTGGGGATTTAGTTTCCTCCTAGGTGGTTCTTTGATTAGAGTATCGTTTTCTGCCTGATTGTTTGTCTGGTGTTAATCCTTGTTTATCTGAATGTTGGCTGCTGGAGGGAATGTGTTGTAGACTTTTTGTTTCCCTCCTAGTTTTTTTTATTGTATCTTTTGAATGGTGTGTAAATGTGGTTTATCTCTAACAGTCTATTGATGGCTGATTTATCTGAATGTCAAGCTTCCATGGAACTTCCTACTATTTTTGGATTTGGCTTGGTCTAAGATGCTAATAGTTTTCCCCACTGAAACTGTAGTTGAGTCTGTCTGTATTATGAGATTAAGGAGTTTTTGTCATTCATCTGACAGCTAAGTAGTGTTCATGGATACGCTGTGCTAGTCTTCAGCCTATCTGTCCTACATAGTGGCTGTTGCAGTCCTTGCACTATAAGCTGTAGATGACTCCAGTTGTTTTCTTCTTGGGCTACTGGGTCTTTTGATTTGCTTAAAATGTTTTGGAGGGCTTTAGTTTGTTTGTATACTACAGTGTGGTCCTGTGTGATTGCAGTAATTTGTTGGGTGTTTCAGAGATGTTTTTGATGTATGGGAGTGTTATCCTTTGAGGTTATACTGTCTGTGTGGTCGAGCACTTTTTGATAAAGCTGCGTTGGCATCTATTTTGTTGGAACATGTTGACCTGTTTCCTCTTCTAGTGTTCTGGGTTGCTACAGTCTGTTTGTGCTCATCTGAATAACGTTCTTACGCAGCCCCTCTTCTGGAAGGTTGGGTTGTTACTTTGGTAGTGCTGCACTTGGTTAGTGTGGTTGCTTTCTGATAGACTTGGGCTTGTGGTTTGCCATTATTTCCTCTGATGAGGATATTCAAGAAGGAAAGTGTTGTTGCTTTCTTCTTCCATTGTAAACTTTATTCCTTTGAAGATATCATTGATTGTTTCATTAGTCTTCTCTAGTTGTTCCTTTTTTTAATTATTATTATGATAAAGGTGCCGGATCCATGCTTTTGGTTATATGTGTGGGAGCGCTATAGCTACTAAATGCTGTATCATGGTCTCTACTATGAATATGGAAAGTGATGATCCCACTCTTGTTTATTACACTCTTGTTGTAATAAATGGCCCAATTAGATTAAACACATGGAATCCTAAAATTATTTTATCTCCACAAGCTTCCATTGTGCTCTGGCATCCAGTTTTAATCTTCCAATGCTACTTCAACAATAACATGTAAAACAAATATGGTACAAAAATATTGAGATTATCAATTTATATTAATTTGTTCACTTTGCATATATAAAATATTATATAGAAATTTCCAGTATTTCTCACACCAACCCCCAATCTCCAGTTTTCTGAACATTACTTATTTTCTATATATAATTGACAAGTTGGTTATGGTATATCATACTGTTCTTTCAGAACAAAAGTCTATGAATCAGTTGGAGTGAATTTTATCCTCTTGTTCACATCCACGCATTATCTGGGGGAGATGGGCAGCATACAAATTAAATGAATGAATGAATAAATGAATGAATGATTGAAATGTGAGGTGAGGAGCACAGTACTTTAGGCAATCTTTTAATACAGTGGCCTCTGAAGTTAGTCTGGCATCTTCTAGAAGGCCATTAAGACTGAACTTTTTTGAGAGACCTTTGAGTTACAGTACTGCTGTTAATTGGGGTAGCTGGTTTATCATGTTTGGTCTTTATCCCTATGCTGTATTTATCATTGATTTTGGCTTATTTTTGTATATACAGTTGCATTATTGTTTATGGTTGCATTATTGCTGTAAACTTCCAGGAGTCAGTAAATTTGATGGTATATAAGAAAATTAAAGAAATGAATGAAGTTTCTAATTGCTTTTCACAAGTCAGGAGGGTATCCTCTGAAGAAGGGAGCTTTCTCTACTTGAGCTAAATCCTTATGAATATTGCAAACTTGGAAAATCAATATTTTAAATGATAGGGTTAGGGTTAAAATATTGGACTAGGACTGAGAGACTTTTTATCTACATCATAAATTGAGTACTTTGTCAGATTCCCTTGTTGCTATTGTTCTATGATTTCAGGAAATTTGTTCATAAAGGACAAAAACACACTTGTCTTTATTTTATTTGATTTAGTGCCACTGCAGATAAATATGAAAAAGGAAAGCCCAGGCCAGTCGATATTCCAACATACATTTTTCAATTATGTATTAAATGAGACAGATGGATTATATTTTCACCATTTTTGTTTTGTAAAGGCACTTGCATATATGCAGTAAAATTTCTTGAAACAGAATCTCCAAATTAGTTCTATGAGTGAAATGAAGTAGTGTACATGAAAATAAAATCTGACATTTTAAAAAATATTATCAACAAATAACCTACAGTTAAATCCTATACCACACTTATAAATTAAAACTTTAAAAAAAAAATAACATCCAAGCACATGTATAAATAATAGAGTTCACACATAGCATGAAAATGTTGAGACCCTTGTCTCGTATCTGTATATACTTTGAAATCCTTATAATTAATGTCACTGTACTAGTAACAGCTACAATTTTGGGGAGTATCTTAAATTTTGTCTCTGACCTTGAAGGGAAAACCAGAGGATAGGATTGTCCTAGGCACAATAGATTATAGCCTGTTAGAATTGCTTCTGTTGAAAAGGATTTGAAAATGAAGTAATTATATATTTTAGGAAGAATTAATTTTTCACTAATTCTTCTTAAAATATATAACTTTATATTAAAAAATAGGAAAACAAACAATTATTTTAAGATTTTTTATAAGACTTATCCTTATTTTTCTTATTGTAGACTTACTCTGAACTCCATGTGAAGGAACAACTTTCCATGTTTCTGAAGTGACTTCTTTTACATCCACTTGGTAATGATGAATAGGGACACCTCCATGAGAATCTGGTTTATTAAAAGATACCTTAGCAAGAGTCTGTGATACATCTACAATTTTCACTCCATGTGGACTGGATGGTACATCTAGGAAAAAAATTAAAGAACATTTAATAAGATAGCAAGATTAGGCAATATAAGGAACAATAAAGAGTAAGTTATTTTACTACATGGGGGAAATATAGACTAACACATTAACACTATTAAATAAGCAAAACTGACCAGTACACTGAAAGATTGAAAGTGGAGTCTTCAGGAAGGTTAAGGTTAGGGGACTGACTGAATCATTTTAATCATTTTGAGGCTAAAACCCTTTGTATAGATGTTTAATGGAAAATAGTATGCTAAGCTTTACATGGCTATTTTCAACTTTATTTCACCAATACAAAAATAAAATACATACAATGTACTTTTTATTAAATGAAAACTCTTCTGAATTTAGTTTTTTTTTTTAATTTAACTTTTCCCAGATAAGTTTAAGGTATATAAAGGCACAATTGAGTCTTTTTAAATTGTGTGTTGAAAGGCTTGCAGTTGAGAAAGTTACTGTAAGTAAGGAAGGTTAAAATCATAGAAATTTGCTCTATAAAAGATTTATAGGAAAAAATACATTAAAACTATACACAAACTAGTTTTAATTTGATATTTTTGACTGAAGAAAATCATAGTATACTAAATCCATTGTTTTTGTTGTAGATTGTTTTAGGATTTTTTGGAATGGAAGATGAAACAGACATGGAAAAAACAAGGAAAGTCTTCCAAAAGATCTCTGAACCCAAAAGGAGGTTCCAACCTTGAATTGTTATACCTAAGGACTCTAATGGACAGATAATAGCCAATTCAAAGGAGATCAAACAAAGAAAGAGTATACTGAAATACTGTACAGTAAAGAGGTCAACATCCAAGAAACCTTAGAAGATATTCCCTACTTACAAGAACCTCTAGTACTAGAAGAGGAAGTTAAATCAGTACTCTAGTCATTACCAAGTCAGAAGAATAATCAGTAAAACTCTAATAAAATTATGTCAATAAATCTGGATAATGGCATAGTGGCCAACATATATAGTAGGAGGAGGTCAAATATACATACCAATACCAAATAAAAGAGAGAGTTCAAACTATCACACTATTATTATTATTATTATTATTATTATTATTATTATTAACAAAGAATTATTAAAATATTATTAAAATTATTCACTTTTTAAATTATACAATTATGACAAATAAAGAACTATTCTCAATTATAGTGAGGGATCAATTAAAGCATCCCTGAGAGATAACCAACCAGCCTCTGAAGACTCTGGAAGAACAACTCACTACTTCATGTGGCAGCCTGATCTACTGGCTGACAACTCATGGTCAGGAACTTCTTCATCACATCTAACATGTCATTTTAACCCAATGGTTCTGGTCTTGATCCATAAGAAAATAGAGGATAATGCCATTCTATCTTCTCTGTGACAACTCTTCAGTTATTTGAAGAGTGCAATCATATATCACCTATTGGATCTTTACCTAGATCCTGTAGCATTTCCTCATAGGCTTCACCAGCCTGTAATCCTCCTCTGAACTTTCTCCAGTTTGTCTAGCTATGGTGCTTATATTGTGGCACATTATTGCAAATAGATCAGTCTAGGGCAAAGTACAGTGGAACAGTTACTTCCCATGATCTGTGCTCTATGAACTGCTAATGCATCCCGAGATAGCATTTGTCTTTTCAGCAGCTACAACACACTGCAGGGTCATGTTTAACTCGTGGTCAACAAGAACATGCAGATTCCTTTTACATGTACTACTGCCAAGCACATTCTCACATCCTATATCTGTGCCTTATATTTTTACTATTTATCTGATAGAGATATATTGTATGTCGTTATAAATTTCTTCCTTAAATTGCACCTCATTGATTAAGTCCATTCTCAAAGAGGATAGAGTCTCCTGTCTTTTATCTAAAGTATTTGTTACCCCTCCAATTTCATGTCATCTGCAAATTTTATAAGTGTCCCCTCAATTCCCTAAGTCATTGATAAAAAAGGAATTGTTGCATGGAGCTTAGGACAGAACCATATGAACTCAGTACTTTTATACAAGCTGAAGTGGAGTCATTAATTAGCTCAAGGTGTAACATAGGTTTCTTCAGTTCATGGGGGCTTTCATTCAATTCATTCATATTTCAGATATAGTCATGTGGAAGCAGTTGCTCCTTGAAATAGGAACTAATAAGAATTATCATATGGGAATCTGATCAAATATCAGTTATATTTACAATGTTTTTCAATACCTACATTATGGGAAAACATCATCAGGATCTAGGCATTGAATGCTATCAGAATGAGGCTGAAACCCAGATCTTTTTTTTTTTTTTTAATGACAGGTGTGTGAAATCAGTAATAGCCACATGAGGGATAATAAATTAAAATTAAATTCAGAAAAGGTGGATTAAAAAAATTGGTAGGCATCAGGGGATCTTCTATCATGGATTTGGTTCTTACCAACAAGTAAAAATTTGACTGAAGATATTAAAGTAGTGAGAACTTTGGGTACAAATGAGAATGCATTGTTAAAGTTCTTGATTTGAAAAAAAAAAATAGTTAAAAAAAAGTCAAGAACAAACCATGGATTTTTGAAATACTTGTTTTAATAAACTAATCGAATAGTAAGGAAGATATCCTGGGAACATACTCTTAAAGGAAAGTTATTAGTTATTAGTTGGCTGACCTTCTTGTAAGGAAAATTAAGTATAATCTGCATGCATTCTGCATGCATACCAATGAGGAAGAAGACATCTAAAAAAATCCAATGTGATTGAATAGACAAAAAAGGTTCATGAAGGAATTGAGATTAAAGACAATGCTTACTGGAATGCAAGGAAGGTATAATTACAAAGGATGTTGACAAAGGTTCAGCTCAGAAATGTAGGAATGAGGTGAGGAAGGCAAAGCTTGAAAAATGAGCTAAGAAGAGCAAGAGAGGTAATGTCCAGCAAGATTTTCTTCAAATATACTACCAGCAAGAAGAATTAAAAAAAAAAAGGTAGTGAGATCATTGCTTACTTCAAATGGAAAAATCTTAACAGAGGACCAAGAGAAAGCAGAGGACCAAAAGAAAGCAAAAATTCCTTTTTACATCTGCCTTTACAGCCAAACAAAATGGTGATTTGATAGATCAGATTGTGAACAAATGCAACAGGGAAAGGTGCAGGTCAGTAAGTATGTGGTAAAAAAAACTTCTAGATAATTTGAATGTGTTCAGATCACTAGGCCCTGATGAAATATACATTGGAATACTTAAGGAAATGGCTGAAGACCTGTCAGGATCTCTGTTAATTATCTTTAAGGAATTTTGAAAATTTGGAGATGCCAGGAAATTGGAAAACAGCAAATGTGATTCCCTTCTTCAAGAAAGGTGGTGGTGGTGGTGGGGAATCTCAGTAAGCCAGGAAGCTTAATATAAATACTTGGAAAGTTTTCAAGAAGTGTCTGGACAGTCACCTCTTGAGGATGGTTTACTTGATTTTCTTGCATATTGCAGAGAGTTGGACTGATGATGTTCCACAATTCAATGATTCTCTGAGAGTGTTCAATGTCAGAGAGATGGTATATCTGCCTTTTCTGAATGGGCTTACATTCCTCCAAAGAAGGAGGTACACAGTTTGGAGGTGCTTCTAAACTTGAATCTCTCTATGATTATCCAGATTGAGTCAATAGCCAGGAGGGCCTTTTATTAGTTTCAGTTGATATACTAACTGTATTCCTTTCTGGAATAAATTAACCTTAAACCTTGTACATGTGCTGGTAACTTCTAAGATTGAAGGTAATGTAGTCTACATGAACCTGCCTTTTTGTGGAGTTCATTAACTTTAGTTGGGACAAAAAAGTAGATCTTGGATAAACCTTAAAGTGACCGTATACACATGTGATTAAAGCACTGTACCAGCTACCAATCTTTTCCAAGCAAACTACCAAGTGTTGATTATTACCTTTAAAGCTCTGTATGGTCCAGTACATTTCAGAAAATACCTCTTTCTATATAAATTGCCAGGCTTACTAAGTGATTCAACTACAGTTAGTATATGTTTGTCTGATGGTGACTTTGGGTCAAGCTTCCTGTTACCACCCTAGTTCTTTGAAATGTATCCCCTACAGAGCTCAAAGGTCTAACATGTTTATTAACTTTTTAAAAAGTCCATTTAAGCACATATTCTTGAACTATTGATTGCTAATTTGATTTTTTTTAAAAGAAGGGTTTTAATTGCTTTTTAATGATTTTAATGTCTTGATTTAAATTTGTTTTCATTATAAACACCAGAGACATGACAATGTTCTGCAGCATACTAGGCTAAATAAATATATAAAAGTTGATTTTCTTGATCATGGATTTTATTTTCTTTATTTGAAGGACACAGTAAAGGGAGAGCTTGGAATTTTTTTAAGAGACAGGAAATGAAATGCAAGGGGACAAATACACTGTTAGTACCTCTCATGTAGACAGTTATGATCTCCAAAACATGGAAGGTTGCACTTAGTTTGATATTTGGCCTTGTTAAAATCATATTTACATGCTATTTCTTAAGCAAAGAATACAAACTATTTGTTTTATCATCCAAAACATTTCTTTTTAAATAAATAAATTACTTACCAGCCAAGGCAAGGATATATTCTTGATATCTTTTCCCTATACTATTTGTAGCTGTACAGTTGTAATGTCCAAAGTCAATGTCTGATGTGGGATCAAACTTTGTAGAAAGGAGAAAGAGAGACAGAGACAGAGAGAGAGAGAGAATGAGAGAGAGAGAGAGAGAGAGAGAGAGAGAGAGAGAGAGAGA